CCCTGGGCAGCGGTAACAGCTGTTGCTGGTGCAGAGAGACATCATTTTTGCAGTTTGTGTGGCTCATACCTGCACATAATCTGTCAGCAAGAGAAAACAAATTCTAATTGGCTGCCCTAATAAGCAGTTCAGCCCCACTAAATGTCTGAAATGTGTCTATGGATAACAACAGTCAAGCACAAAAATGTCAAGCTCCACTGATGCTATTTGATGACTAAGGCATTCAAACGCTGTGTGGTATATTTTGGGGAGATATAAAAATTACTCTAGACCACTTAAACTTGCTTCACTCCAAATTGTCTTTGTTTCCAGATGTTCAAAGGTTTTGACAAGGCCAAGGATATCCAGTACGTGTACACTCCAGTCTTCACTTCACTGTGTGGCGTCAAGCTGGACTCTAACAACAAAGCAGGGTATCTGCTCTCAGGTACAGTTATGTAATGGTTGGTTTTATATCATAGCTTCAGTAGGAAAAGGCGGCAGAAAGTCCAATAAAAGGCAGGTGACTCAGAGTATTGTGCTACATCAGTGTTGTTTTCAGTAGGAATATAGAATGATAGCAGCAGGGTTTTGTTAAAGGAAATATGCTTGTTCACTTTCTAGCAGAGTTACAGGAGAGACCAGATCATGTCTATATGTAGATATAAAGCTATAGCTAACTTAACCAGCTGGTGTTGGTAGGTTCACATTTTAGTGTACAGACATGAGAGTGGCATTGACCATCTCATCTAACTCTCATAACATCTCATCTTAAATGCTGAACTATTTCTATTAATAAAGAGATGCATTGTATACATGGCAAAATATATTAATATTTATGGCAGCAGTAGTTATATTGCACACACTGAACTTTAGTAGCTTAACCAGCCAACATCTGTCAAGTAATGTCGGCATGTTAAAGTTTATAGCAACATTTTAAGGTTATTGAATATAGCAAAACAGTTCTCTGGATCTAATTCTGAAACTTTCATTGCTGTTGTTGTGTTGTCACTAAACAGGAAGCATGTGGAGTGATGGAAGGATTTCTATCGGTCAGTGTGACCTAGTTGAGTCCTGGGACAACTTATCGCTGTCACAAAAGAAGAATCTCAACTACAGATACCAGATGGGCTGTGAGTGCAGAGTGAGTAAGAACGGTTCATTCTTTGTTCACACATATTTATCTCTGTCCCTCTCCTCTGTCGTAGAGATGCTAACATGAGCATTGGCCTTAAGAAACAGCAACTGAGCTGTGGAAACAAAAAAAGTCTCTCCTCTCATCTTTTACTCTCACTTCTGTGTCTGACTGTCTTTCCCTTTTGGTATGTACATTTTAATTTAGAAGGTATTTATTTACACAAAAAACAAACAAATTACTATAGTCATCAATAAAAAAATATAAATGTGCAGGAATAGGAAAAAAGCCCAAAATGTATTCATTTATTTTATTTTAACTTTTACTTCAGGGACACTGCACATCAGTTATCACTGTAAATGTGTCAGTGTTAGCCAGGAGGCTGAATTGCTGTCCCTAGGCCAAGATGTTAAACAGCCATCAAAACAAAACACAGTATGAACACAACAGGCTTACTGATGACCTCTACCATAAAAAACAGTCAAAGAGATTAAAAGATTTACAAAAAATAAATCAAAAATTAAAGCCTTTTTCAGATTCACTCTAAAAGATTTTAAAGACAAAGACACTGTAATCCAATGAAAACAAAATAAATGTGGACCCCTGTATCTGACTGAAAGTGGACTTTTAGAAAATGAAGATTACCTGAGTGCCTAATTAAAAAAGAATAAATCTCAAATTTTATTACAAAATAAAACTTCATATGACCTAGATTATTTCCACGCTTGAATAATAACTTCTAAATGAAAGTTTATATTTGGAATTTGTTAATTTCATAAATTGTAAGGAGCTGAGTTTCTTTAAACAAAGGAGAAGATTAAGAATGAATGGATCTGAGTGGGTTACAATGCTGACAAAATGTTTTCGTAGGAGGAAAATTATGTGGGGGACTCTAGGATATGTAATTCCCCAAACTATATTGCAATATAGCAAGATTTTCATGTGTCCCGTGTAGCTCCCATCTCAGTGTTTTTTGAAATCCTTTCCCCAGCAAAATTCTTGTTCATAACACAAACACTCTTCTCTCCACAGATCAATACCTGTTACACAGTGCCGTGTGCGTCTACAGGAGAAAACGAGTGCTTATGGACTGACTGGCTGCTGGATAACAGCCTCAATGGGGGGCAGGCTCGGCCGGACGCCCTCATCCGCCGCCCTGACACAAACCTCCGAGGCGGACCCCCACCTGAGAAAGACTTCCTGGAGATGACTGACCCATGACCTATAATTCTGACATTCCTTTCACTCCATTTGACTCCTCCAATGCCTTGAGAAAAACAAAATCCTGCTTTGGCTTAAGTAGCTCGTATTTGGAGCCCAAAATAACAACTGATTTTTATTGAAAAACTGGCAGATTTTTTGCATTTGAGGAAGTTTAACCAAATGCTGAGCTTCTGTTAGCAGAGTTCAGATAGTTGCTACAGCAATGCTTGAAAAATTTCATAAACTGCAGGCGCTTTCAGGATTCCTTGGAGTCATTATGTCACTGTCACAAACATTCCACTTTGCTTGCTGCTTTCCACAGAATAAGAATAGCAGCAGGCCGTCCACTGCAAATTATTCAGACCCAGAGTGAATCCTTTTTCGACATTTCTGATGGATGCATTGTAAATGCATAACATTCAGAAATATTAAAGACCTCAGCTTTGTTTGAGCCTAACTTGAATTTGGTTATGTAAGAATTTCAGTTATACATTCAGTGAAACACAGATAAAGAAGCTGAACAATTATTCTAAAACAATAGGAGGAAAATTGTAAAAAAAAATAAATAAAAAAAAAAATTCCAACCTCTGCTGCAGTCTGCACTGCAAAGTGTAATTTACAAGCAAATTTTGTGCACACTGTTTGTTGGAGATAGACTACAACACTGCCACCTTCCCCCCACATATATAAAGTGGTACCTTTGTATACTGTGCTATTGATTAACTGCCACACGCAAATGAAAACACACTGTCTACATACAAATTAAGGAAGCACCAGGAAGTCCCTCAAAACATTTTATTTTGACAAACTATGACAACAGAATTATTTATGACTATAATTCTTGTGCATCTAAATCATAACAGTTTAAACACTCAAATTTCTGAGATTGTAAATATTGTACACCAGCGAGAATTAACATTTTAAAGGCTAACCAGATTTTATCTTACAGTGTAGAGGTTCTTATGGTTTGGTGGTTTTGTGTGGTTAGTTTCCTTAGTTAAACTCCATGTGCCAAAAATCTAATCCAGCGCTTTAACAACAGCACTGCCACCTGTAGAAGCCAAGCCATGTCTCCTTAGAGGAAATGATGTAACAGGACAAGGTTCAATTCTATTTTTTAACCCTTTCAGATGCTCCTCAATGTTTAAGAAAAGATAGTAAAAACATTAGCACAAGTTGTTAGCAACAAAAAGAAAAATAACTATTCATAAATGAGCTGTAATGAATGATTAATGTGTCTGGGTCTTTTTGGAATTTTTAATATGATGACTCAACAATAGACCCAAACATGAATTGACCCCTGTCTTGTTACTGGATTACTTCATACAGACTAAAATGCATTATCACTTGTTTTGTTCATGCATTAGTCAAAAAGATTATATTAGGGTCATAAGCAACAATAAAATTGTTTTATTTCCCCTGCACATTGCAGTAATTTGGTTGATAAAATATGTCTATAAATATTGTTTTTTTTATTTCAAATTTTTCCTGTATCTTCCACAGTTTTCCACATTATATTTTAATGACATTTTATCATAATACACAATAACCGTATGGCTGTAGTGAAGCGCTATCAAACAATTCCATGTTTGTTTTATATTGAAAGAATCATTTGGGTTTGTATTTATGTCTATTCCTGTCTAAATACAGTTTTCTATTTCCATGTACCAAAAGAAATTGTATATAAAATGTCTCAATGGAACAGTGTGTCACTGACTCTTTGTTTCTTCACAGTACTTCAATGAAAACTAGGGGGGTGGCGTTAACATAAGAAGTGAGTGGATTTTTCCCAGCTGGTTAAAGGTGTCTGCTCTAATGGAATGTCTCTAACAAGACACAGTAGTTTAAGTACATTTCTCACTGAAAAAGTACTTTGGTGCATAGGGAGCATGTTGTATGTTTCTTACACTTCACCTTTATACTACAGCTCATAGTGAATGCAGAAGTAAAATGTTCTCATGAGTGTAACATGTTGTACAGTAACATGACTGCTCTTATTTATTTATTTATAAACGTTTTTCATATTAGTAATATCAATATCTTATGCCAAATTATTATGGTCTATAACAAAACAAAAAAAAGTCTGAGTCCTCATCTCCAATTTCCAAGTGTGAATGCAGCGAATGCTTGAGTTCGAGCCCAAGTCAGAGTCACCATTGCTCATGTCCAATCACAAGTCCTGAAAATCTGAGTCCTGGACTCAAGTACTACAACACTGTTACCACTTTGTGTAAAAAAACAAAAAACAAAAATACTTACTTCAGGGCATTTGAGACATTAAACATTTAAGTAGCACACCTTAATCACAGTAAACCAAATTGAGGTAATTATCTAAATAGCAAGTGTAAAGAATCATGACTTTTGCTTATAATGTTTCAGTTCGGTGATAAACACTTGTATTTACTGAACATGCTACAAACATGGTTTATTCCAATTGGTAAAATATTTCATCATAACATACAACATTTTATTTTACATTAAAAGCTGAACACCTACCTGGCAGCCAACACTGTTGCCTGCTTTTAGGAAACATTTGATTTCCCAGAGACAAACAGTCGAACTACTAAATATATAATAATATCAATCTTAAAATCATCAGTTGCTGAGGAACTGATATTTTGGAGATGTGGGTTTGCTGCAGGGTTATTGACAACATACAGTGTGTAAACAAAAAAATTCTTACCATGTCTTTGTAGTTGGGGTAGAAAGTCTGATCAATGAGAGGGAACTTATCTGAACCCAGCCTCTTCTGATTGTTGATCAGCTGGGAAAACTAGAGGAACGAGAAGAACAGAGCAATGCAGTGCAGTGAATTCAATGCTAATTAATCCTCACCTCTGCAGTCTATAGTGAATAAAATACTGAGTAGATTGTTGCAGTTGTGAATTAGTTTCTGAGGTTACTTACAGCCCAAGGTTTGTCACAGAGGTTGTAGATGGAGTCCAGGGAGTTGACAGCGGGGACACCGGCATACTGCAGACCAATGATCAAGTTCCTGAAGTCCTCATTCTGGGCCATGCTGAAGGCATGCTGACGCACCAGGACAAAATCAGGCCTGAAAGACCTAGCAGGAGAAAATAGAGAAAGCATAAATATTGTTTTACTCTGTTTCACTTACACAAATCTGTCTGTCAAAATAACACACAAAAAAATCAACAATGTCTTTTGTGAGTGTGAATCCAGTTTGAGTGACTCTGTGGCAAAACGCTCAACGTCAGGCTTTATTTGATAAAAACATTTAAAGACATTTTTGGATGAGATATCACTGACCAGAAAGAATGGCATTAAACACAGGTCATAGTACAGAATAAAAATCCACAAAGCCACAAGTGAATAGTGATAGATTTATCATTTCCACTGCAGACGCCGTGGCAGTGAGAGATAAAGTCTAGCTGGCCACATAGTGACAATGACTCAAATCTAATAAGAATGTTGCCTTTTTCTCCTCTTTGTTTTGTTCTAAAGTGTGATATTCAACACTAAAACAGATTAAAGACATACTGCCTGATAGATAGAACTTTGCTGTTTTGTTTTTTTTTAGCTTTAATTCAAAAACTGTGCACCTGCACCAGTGAACTGGTCATGTTCCTTCTCCTGAAACCACACCATTTAGTGAGAGATGAGTTTTGCTTCATTAATTCCTCGTCATTTTTTTGTTTTTGTTGTTGTGCACGCTTTTGTGCTTCAGACAGTAAGCGTGGTCGATAGAAACCTGGGGATCTGGCAGTGCTTTAATAAAACTGAGCAGTGAGTAACTTCATACTTTAATCCTTTAATTACAGTAGTAAGGCAATGTAATTAACTCAACACAAAATTTCTAGTAAACAGACGCTCCCACATATTAGTGTTTGTGTCTCTCAGTAAGGATGGTGGTAAAAACCTGCAGTTGCTTTTGTAGAACTGGCTTCCAAAGTAATTCACTGTTACCAAAGTCCTTCAAAATGATGTAAATGTCATAAACGTAAACAATGGTATATGCAGGCTGATGCAGGCATAAAGAACTTTTCACTACTACAGAAACCTGGCATTTGATAATTTTGCATTCTGGTGAACACAACTGGCTGCTTTAGACATTGACAAGTGACTCCGACTGAGTGGTCACAGTGCCTGCACAGTGCGAGATAGAAGTGAGTGGGTACATACCTAAAGTATCAAATATCTTTTGAGTACGTATACTAGCATCTGTGGTGCACAAAAGAATAGCTCAGTCTCACATTAGATTACGTTCTGCTTTCAGCTGTCATGTCTCTCATGCCGTTGTGTGTATGTACCAGCTGTGACATGTCTGCAGACAAGCCAGCAACAGAGGTAGCAGCGGTGGGGACTTCAGTGCAAAAGGCATTGTAGGTTCAACAACTGAGAGAAAAAATGGGGATGAATCTTTACAAGTAAAGGGAAAACAAAAGCTCAGCAATAGACTATAATAAATTCCAATTTTTGCATTTAATGATCTATTACAAATTCACAGGATTTTTGTCTTTATGTTTTGCTGCAGCAAAAGCATTTAAAACCCTGTTATTTTTCCTTTTGTCTCTGAATGCATGCATGATAGAGAGTGAATGTGAGAAAGAGTGAAGAGAGAGAGTGGAGAGGTGTGAGAAAAAAGACAACAAAGGAGAGAAAACTCTGGCACAGTGTGACCACCACCGGATCTTCATGCACTGAGAATACTAATCAGGCACTTCATGAAACTAAAAAAGGCTGGTGGAAAAGACACAGTAATTAATGTGACTATAATCTCTCCTTTACTGACAGTAGGCAGTAAAGTTCAGCACGGTCATGACTCTTGACTGAACAACCTAATCAGTGTTACCAGTGACAATACAGGATTTACTTTGTATTTTTTACCGTGTATTTTTAACCCAATACCCTGCACCAAATACAAAGCATTTCTAGGAAGAATAAAGTTTGTGAAGAGACCTGAACTTTGATAACACTGCAAAGTCTATCATCTAATTTTATTTCTCTGATCAATTTGGACTTAAAAGGAAGAAAGAAGGATAACAAGGCTAACAGGACAACAATTTCCAGTGGCCTCTTTAGTGGTGATAGGGATTAGCAAGAGATTAGATGTTAGATGGCAAACCCAAAATTACCAGAGTTAATCTGCAGTCATTCATCCTAAAATGAACGCATTAAAGGGATAAACCCCTGGAACTTTGTACAGAGAAAGAAGTTCTCTGTCAACAGTACTTTGAAGAATTTAACAATTTCTTCAATTCTTTCTAATATAATTATACCTTAAGTGACAGTGTACATTGTTTTTCTTATTTGACCTGGATGTACATGTCTCTGGCAGAGCATGTGGAAGCTAACCGTGCATGCATGTACCAAGGAAATTAACAAATGTTCCACGAGTAGCGCCAAACCAAAATCAGCGTGAGCCCATGTGCAGTCACACGCCTCTGTTTGAGTCACTTTATCCCTGCTGTGTGCTGATGTTACCATTCTACGCAGTAACATCACGCAGTAACACGCAGACTCAGAGCAGTTAGTAAAACTCTGACTTGAAATCAATAGACTCAATACAATTACAGAGACAAATGTAGAGGATTAAAACATTTAGCACTGAACTCAGACAGGCAGGCAACAACACAGAGTCATAATTACATTATAAACTCATTAATTGTGCCCACAGCAAGCTCATGAGACTGAGGCTATGATACAGCTGCTGAGGTGATACATGCTGTGCAAGAATAATGCTTCTGTGGACATGGTGCTGTCAGCAAGGTGTGTGAATCTTTCAGTGAATTTCCATGAATCAAAGTTTCCTGATGCCACATCAGCTCCGAACAGTGAGTGCATTGAGTATATGTTTGTGTGTGACCATGTGTGGACCTGCCCCTCATTAAGCATAATTACTGGGTAGAGAGGATGATTACTGGACTGACTCTTGTGTCTGTCTTCTGCTGGTTTTGTCGGTTGGTGAGTAGTAGGAGTTACTGTCTTCCTGGCAGTCTTTAGTTGGGATATGGATGTCTATGTGGTTTATGGTGTGTGTCTCTGTGAGTGTCTGGTTTACGGTACATTCATAGGTTTGTAGGCATTTGCTGTGCTAGGCTGTGGCTTTGTGACTTTTTTCCATTGATCAGAGCTTTTAGTAAATAAGTGTATTTATTAGTCATATTCTGAGATTTTTCTGTCAGCTCTTGCAGAAAACTCTTTGGCTCATCATTACATGTTGCATAAACATGGCAACCTAATACTTTGAAAACTGTGTTTTGTTAAATCACTTTATTTATTTAGTTACCTTATTCACCTTATTTCAGTGGAAGGTTTTGGGTTTAGATTCATTGGTCAGGTTAGGTTTGTACATGATGTGTAGCTTAAACCTATTTGTGGGGACCAAATGTCCTGAAAACACTTGTAAAATTAATTAAAACATTATTTCTGGGGGTAGGTTTTTTAGTTAGGGTCTGGAGATGGAATCCAGCTAAGAGATTAACAATTCAAATCTATAATGTGTAATACTTTGTGTTTCCAGAGAAGGCACACTTTGGTAAGGACCCAGTTATTTCTCGGTTTAGCTGACAGGTTAGGTGGTGAGATTAGATTTATTATTTTTGGTTGTATTCTGGGATTCATTTTATCTCCAAAGTGAGAATAACAGTTAGCTTTAAAGGCAGAGCAGGAAGCAGGATCTGACACCAAAAAACAAAGACAGTTTGTGCTTCTTGAACACACAGAGACAAACCTGTGTGTGTGTGTGTGTGTTTGTTTGTGTGTGTGTGATGCTGACCTGACCACTTTGGTACCACCCCTGATGACCTGCATATCCACATTACAGGTTCCATTTGAATGTGAGACGAGGTTGATCTCTGAGAACTCAGCCTACAAGGATGGAAAGACAACACAGGATAGTTTGATACCATTCTATACATAAACCATATAAGTTTTCTGGTAATATATGCAAACACGCTGGTCTTCGGTGTGGCTGAAGATAGTGAATATTTCTCTGTGACTCATAGCTGCCGACTCCTGTCGCCTCTGATGTCTATTTCTGTTTCTGTGGTGTGGTTCAAGGTTGGAATTTAACTGTCAGCATCAATTAGGTATGAAACTGTTTGCTGTAAAATCCCACAGTATAGTTATTTCAAATACACTCACCAAGTAATGCAGAATGGTTTGCTGGTTGGGTGGTTCAGCCACAATGAAACCAAAACACAACATAATATTTAACCTACCTGCACACAGTAACCACACTATAATATAGCTAAGATTTTGGTATTGTTTCACATGTGAAGAACTTGACGTTACGCATTTATACACAGCTCAAAAGTAATTTTGCTGAAGATGACAAATGCAAATGCTTTGGTAGTTTGTACAACAAGGTCCCATGCTATTCACACTTTTCTGGAGTGACAGCATTTCCTTTTTTTCCATATTAGATTCTGAGTTCTCTCTCTAGGAACTTACGGCCTGCTATTTATCAAAAACAAATACATGGAGCTTATCTGAAAAAGATTTTTGTTTTTACTGAAAAAGTGTCTGGACACCAGTGTCTCAGCTTGTCAGTGAAAAATTATTCATTTCCATATCAAAAATAAAAATACAGTGTCTCTGCTTTGATCCTTCTCAACCTTTTACAAAAGATTCTGTAATATCATAGGCCTGTAAAATCAATATAATACCTGTTCCACTTTAATGTCGTAGTCCTCAAGGACTTTCTTTCCCCGAAACACTTTGACCCTGAAAGAGAAGAGAAGAGACTTAGTTTGCTGCTGACAAACTTAAAAGCTCTTAGTTGTCTGTGCTGCCCTCTACTGGACATCTCACTCCCTGTGGAATAAACAAAAGTAAGAAAATGGATGCCTGCTCATGTACTTCTAATGGCAAAACTTTCTCAGCAGTAGGGGGTGTTTACAGCATGAAGATCACTGAAGTCATACCATAACTGCAATAGGACAGGGATATTAAGTGTCGTCTTGCAGTTTGAATAATGGATGTACCCAGCAGCGTGTTATGAAGTTGACATCTTAATATCTTGGCTGCCATTCTCTCAAGAGTGATGTAGAAATAGATTGCAAGTAAACACACAGAGGCAGGGAGATGGAGAGCAGACAGACAATGGGAATGAGACAAGCAGAGAGCCACACAGGCTGCCAGCCAAAACACAAACAGACAAAATGATCAGGATGTTTCATTTTACACAACACTGTAATGGATCGCAACTGGTTTACACTGCGTCAATCATCAGCTAATACACTGAGGCTAAATAAAACATAAACCATTAGCTTGTTGAGTTTGTATGTTAATATGTCCTGGCTGAAATTAAAATATACCATCAACCTTCATACTGTTCTGTCTTTTTCCCTTTCTTAGTCTTCCTCTTTATGTTCACACACCAGTTACAGTACAGAACAGTTTGAGAAAATTAATGTCTTCTCAGGACCCTCCTAAAAACAAGATGATGCATCTAACAGAGCTTATCTGACAAACCCACAAATATGATTTCTCCAAACATTACAGGTAATGTAACTTCACATCTAAGCTCATTTTCATCATCAGGTCCTTGTACCACCTCAGTATCAAATCAAATTTTATTTGTATAGCGCCAAATCACAACAAAAGTCATCTCAGGACACTTTACAAAGTAAGGTCTAGACCTTACTGTTATCAATATTATTACATAGGGAAAACCCAACAAATCCCCCTTGAGCAAGCACTTGGTGACAGTGGGGAGGAAAAACTCCCTTTAACGAAAGAAACCTCTGACAGACCCCGGCTCTTGGTGGGCGGCCTT